AACACAACACAGGGACAAGTTGTCAATTTTAATATTTTCATTTCGAAAATGGTTGTGGTGGATTCACCAATCTATCTGCAAGAGGATCACATGAAACTACACAACTATGACGTGAAGCAAAAGAAGCTAAGTTCAATATTACTTAACACATACAACTGATTATTATATACATATATATGGTACAAGTGCTAGTCAACAAATACTGAACATGATCCTTTAATTGGTTAAAGTCAGTGAGCTAACAGCTTCATGTGATTATGGAAAAATATCATCATATATTACATTAAGATCTAATTAATGAAATTCCAACCCACAAAGTTTAATCTGAGAAGCAGCTATAACAATGAAATCATGACACACACACAAAAAATAAAAATAAAAACAAAAAGACATTCTTGCTTTATTTCCAGGACCACACAAGAAAGTAAGCACTCCAACCCAATTTTTGGTAAAGAATGTAACTAAAAAGATGAAACCATTTAAAGAGCCCTCTGCTTTTATAAGGGGGGAAATATATATAGGTAGAAAAACATGAAATGCCAAGTAGTATCATGTTGCTAATCCGTAATGTCAAGTATTACCTTTTGTTTCACTAATCAGCACCCACTAACAAAACAAAATATTACTTGAAAAAGATTTTTTCTGACCAAGAGCTCAATACAAGACCAACTTCAAAGCTAACTTGATTCATAACTTTTTTGACTTAACAAACCAAAAGCTCAATGGGATATATAAAGTGGTAATCTTATGTCCATCCTACAAACTTACCTTATAGTACAAAAGATTAACCTCTCTATTGTATCGAGATGATAAATCTTGATCTGTTTCTAAAAGAATGATTATCATACTATCTTTTTCCTATCTAACTTTTTCTTTTTCTTTTTCATAAAGGGATATTTTAAACTACAGTAGTGTACGGGGAGGGGGGTCGATGCCTTAGCCAACTGACCTGACCCCCACATCTGCAGCCTATCTAACATTTCTTTTTAACTCCATTGAGTTTTTTCTTCTTCTTTTATTATATTGTATACTAGTCCAATCACCTAGCATTATGAATAAGCAAATATGGCTTGTGGAGGCGCTATCTCCTAACAAGCACCTATTGAAAACCATGAAAAGAGAAATCATTTAATTGTTCAATCCTATTTTACATGTTATCCCAACATTTGGTAGCAAAAGAGGTAATAAGGTGAGAGCAATCATTTGGAGCATTTAGTAAAAGAAGAACAAAGTGAACATTTTAAGAATGGTTGCACATCTTGGAATACTATTACAAAAGGTTGACCTCTCCACATAAGTTAGAAGATTGGCAAATGCATTATTCAGGCAAAGATGAAAATGGTCATGGAAAAAAAAGAGATGCGTTCACGAAATGTAAAGAAAACATAAGTTACTCTAGTACACATAAATGCTAATATCATCGACAGACGAATTTCAAGCCATAACTAACCCCAATTTAAATAAAATATACACTTACATAGCAAAAAAAACCAAAGAGGAAGTTGAGAAGTCACAAAACTGGGCACAGAGGAGCCTTCAAGTCACCCGACTGCATCACGTAACCAAAAAGACAAGTTTCTCAAAATACCCATATCCAAAAATGGCATAATATGATGATTTAAAGTACTAAACAAAAAACCAGAAAATCTATCACCAGGCAGATAAAACCGAATGCAAAAAGAAAAATGGTAACAGGCACTACTCAAGCATTAGATCTGCCAAGAAACAAATTAGCTCAACCCAGTTAACCATCTACCTTTTTTAATTCATACGCAGATTTAAAGAGAAAGATGTTGAATAATCTGAAACAAAAACCATAATAATCAACTACCCATAATTTTTCGTTGGCCTAAAATAATTTCAGATAGGCTCATTCCACATGAACAAATACAGGTCCTGCTCTTTTCTAAAAATAAAAAATAAAAATAGCGGAAAATGAAGAAGGATTAAAAAGTAAAACAGATCTGATTAATAAAAATTCGAAAATATGGTAAATATGTTGGTTCGAAAAATTAATTTAGATGCGTAGAGAAGAACACGGGGTTTACCTCTCAGTCTAGAAGAAGTCTGCGGGAGTTCAAATGAAGAACCAGAGCTAAATTCAGCTATACTCTTTTGTCTATTGCTTCGGCGTAACGCTGCGTTTTTATGCGTCTGAGGAGGTTTTATTGACTGGGCCTGGCCAGTTTTCAAGGCTTTGGCAAAGATGGGCTGACCTTTAGCCGGCCCAGGCTGCTATCAATGCCAAGTCCAATAACACAACCCAGATATGAGAGTCATTCTACCTAGGGGTGGGCATTCAAACCGGGAAACCGAGAAACCGAGCCGAATCGAGCCGAATCAAACCGGAAAAAACCGAGTTGACCAAAAAACCGGGTTGAGTTGACCAAAACCGAACCGGACCGGTTCTGTGCGATTTTGGTTCCGATTTACCATCTCTAAAAATCGAACCGGTCCAAACCGGACCGGCTTAATTAATATATATTTATATTATAAATTATATATATATTTAATAGGTTGCTCTTTTCTATTGGTTGTGTAAGGACTTACCGTACACGCACACACACATGATTATCACCTATACTACTATACAATTCCTCTCTCGCACTTTCTTTTTACCCTTTCTCCTGGTTCCTTTTTATTTCTTTCTATTCTTCCTTCATCTTCTTCTTCCGTCTTCTTCTTCCGTCTTCTTCTTCTTTTACTTTCTTCAACCCTTTCTCTCTTTCCCTTTCTGCTTGTTCCAATTTTTATTTTTGTGCGATTTTGGTTCCGATTTACCATCTCTAAAAATCGAACCGGTCCAAACCGGACCGGCTTAATTAATATATATTTATATTATAAATTATATATATATTTAATAGGTTGCTCTTTTCTATTGGTTGTGTAAGGACTTACCGTACACGCACACACACATGATTATCACCTATACTACTATACAATTCCTCTCTCGCACTTTCTTTTTACCCTTTCTCCTGGTTCCTTTTTATCTCTTTCTTTTCCTATCTCTCTTTTCTTCTTTCATCTTCTTCTTCCGTCTTCTTCTTCTTTTACTTTCTTCAACCCTTTCTCTCTTTCCCTTTCTGCTTGTTCCAATTTTTATTTTCTATCCCTCTTTCGTCTTCTTCTTTTTTCTCTTTCTTTTTCTTCCCCTTTCTGCTGGTTCCGTATTTTTTTTCCTATCCCTTTTGCTTTTTCTTCTTTCTCTTTCTTCTTCTTCCCCTTTCTTCTCATTTTTCCTGGTTTCGATTTTTTTTTCCATATCTCTCTTTCTTCTTCCCCTCCTTTCTCTCTTCCTTTTTCTTCTTCCCATTTCTGCTGCTTTCGAATTTTTTTTCTATCTTCTTCTTCTTCTTCTTCTTCTTCATCCCCCTTATGGTGGTTCTGACTTTTTTTTTTCTCATCCCTCTTTCTCCTTCTTCTTTTTCTTCTTCTTCCTCTTTCTGGTTTGTTTTTTGTTTCTACTTTCTATGCAGTGCACATATATGTGTTAAGTTCTTGTATATTTTGATTAAGATCTTGTAGATCTGGGGATTCTTTTTAAGTTGTTATTGTGAAAACGAGGTATATGATTTTTGAAGATAAGATATTTTCTTTTGTTTTTCTGGTATTTTTTTCTTTGATTTTATTATTTTCTGTTATTTTCTATTTTGAAGCTTCAAAACCGGGAACCGCAGGAACCGAGCCGGAACCGGTAGGTCTGGATTTTGTCGGTTTTGTTCATGAGTTTTTGTCAAAACCGGACCGAATCGGACCGGATGAACAGTACGGTTTCGATTCTAATTTTGCCTGAGAACCGGTCCAAACCGGACCGTGCCCAGGCCTAATTCTACCTTATATATGGCCCTTAGGTGAGGTCCTGTTTCTTAACTGTTGAATCACGCTAATCAATTTGATTTAATGGTTAAGAGATAGGGTCTCACCTAAGGGCAATATATAGAGTGCTTATATAGTGAGTGGAAAGTTATAATGGGTGTTTTTGAGGGGTATGTAAGAGCCATTGGATTTCATCCAACGGTGAGTTTTTAAAAGAGGGTGCATGTAGAACCGGGTTGAAATCTGACCCGTTGGAAACCCAACTTCAGTTAAAGATATTTCCCTCTCTGTGAAAAATTCAAGAACACAATCCTCTGTTTTTGAATGTAACGCAAACCCACAATTAGAAAGATCCAAAGCTCCCAAACCCTATAGTCGCTCCATTGTCATCAGCTCCTTGGGAGGCCTGCGATCTATGGCATCCTCGGTATGACGATTAATGGCTCTTACCTAGCTATTGCCCTGTTTTGATTCTATGGCTCAAGTGAAAACCCCTTCTTTTTTTCGTTCAGCACACGAGATTCCAGATGAAAGCAAAGTAGCATATCTCTTTCTGTAGCTAGACGCTGCAGCAGCAGTTGTTCCTCGATTGTGGTAGAGATGGAGTCTCCACTACAAAAGAGTCTTCTCTAATGTCCACCACATTCTCTTAAGCTGATTGACTTCGGAGCTCCCGCTTGAGTTTGAGAGGTAAGTTCACTCTTGCTGGATTGATTTTATTGGGTTTGGTTTGTTTTTTGTGAGGGTGGGAAATTCGTCATTTGTGGCATCAATAATGCGTCATTTCCTTATGAATATTCAATATATTTAGTTGATTGTTTTTGGTGGGGGTGGGAAATTATGAAATGTAGGTAAAAGATCCTAAACTTAGGCTTAATGGCATTAGGAGTAAGCATTTGGAGAGGATATTGGGAGAAGTTCTGTAATTGCTGGTTTGAATTACATTTGGTTCTAATGTTATTTTTTTCAAATTATTGCACAAGAGATGACGTAACTATTATTAAATTTTGTGTAATAATGGCTCTTACCAACAAGCTAGGCTAGGCGTCTTTTTTGTGTCAATTTGGGCAATGTTTTGTGTAAGTGGAATGCATTGATATGTTGTAATGCAGTAATGATTGATTAATGAATTAATATTTGCTATGCAGTGATATAGAAGTAGTTCAAAAATATATGTGGATAAAATGTCTGGGGGCTCAAAGAGTGATGACTGTGTAACAGCTAATGGGATGGTTTACATTCCTGAAGTAAGAAATGAGGAAACACCAGCGGTTGGGATGAAGTTCGACTCGCTTGACCTCGTTTATAATTTCTATAATAGATATGCATTCGTGGCTGGCTTTGGTATTCGACTTCATTCCAGCTTTTGGGGAAAAAATAAGAAAGAGATTCTGAGGAAAGAATTTGTCTGTTGCAAACAAGGTGCATACAGGAAAGATGAAACTCGGGAGAGAAAAAGACAGCAGGGAATAAGTAGATGCAATTGCAAAGCTAAGATTGTGGTTGTGAAGACACATGGGAGCAAGAAGTATACCATCTCTCTTTTTGCAGAGGGACATAATCATAAGATGACAGCCTCAGAAAGAGTGCATTTATTGAGATCACACCGTCGTATTTCAGATTCTACAAAAGTACTCACAAAACAGTTAGGTTCGGTTAATATCCCCATTCATCAGAAGGTAAGTATTTTCGAGGTGCAATCCGAAGGAATAGATAAAATCGATTTTATCAAAAAGGATATTTACAATCTTGAATGTAGTGTGAATGGGAAGCTGAGGAACCACAATGTTCAACTAGCGACCGAGTATTTTATGGCTGAACAGAAAAAAAATGAGGCTTTTTATTTTAAGATGGCTTTTTATCACAAATGGTCCTTCACGTTTACGAAATTATCACGAATGGTCCTTGAGGTTTTTTTGTGACACTAATAGTCCTTAACGTTTGGGTTTTTTTATCACAAATGGTCCCTGCTGTTATAAATTCTGTTAAGTGTGATGTGGAAGATAAGTGGAGCCCACATGTCCAATCACATTGTGACATGTGGATAAAAAATAATTAAATAATTTTTTAATGAAAATTCCTTTTTTTTTCTGCAACTTTTCATCCCCTTCCTTACTCCGTCTCTCTCCCACTCAGCCCTCGCTCTCAACCCTTTGCTCTCCATCTCTTCTCCTTGTCCTCTCCTTCTCCATCCATTTTTTTCTTTCCCACTGCCACTTGCAAGGGTTGAACTATCCTTATTGGTTGTAGACTTGTAGTGTATGGCCAGAGCTGTCATCATAACGCCAATAGGAGGATTTTGCTCAAGTTCTGCGTTACTTCGAAGACTAGTGTATAACATAAAGCTTACATCGCTGCCTTTCCAGGTCTCTGTCTTCCTAAAAAACCCTAGAATTTTCTCACTAATAATCCTTAAAAACCCAAATCATAAATCAAGAATCAGCACCAATTATAACAAATTCAACTCAAAATCAAACGCTAAAATCACTCAAACACATATGGAGAGCAAAGGGTGGAGAGCAACTGTATATCTTATATTTTTTCTCGCAGGTGGCAGTGGGAAAGAAAAAAACAGAGGGAGAAGGAGAGGACAGGGAGAAGAGATGGAGAGCAAAGGGTGGAGAGCGAGGGCAGAGGGGAGAGAGACGGAGTAAGGAGGGGGATGAAAAGTTGCAGAAAATAAAAAAGGAATTTCCATTAAAAAAAATTAATTATTTTTATCCACATGTCACAATGTAATTGGACATGTGGGCTCCACTTATCTTCCATGTTACACTTAACAGAATTTATAACGGCAGGGACCATTTGTGATAAAAAGCCCAAACGTTAAGGACTATTAGTGTCACAAAAAAACCTCAAGGACCATTCGTGATAATTTCGTAAACGTGAAGGACCATTTGTGATAAAAAGTCTTTTAAGATTGAGGGAGATGGCGAAGATAGGTTTAGTCGATGTTTTTGGGCAGATGCAACTTCTAGACGGGCGTACGGGTTTTATGGAGATGTTGTTGTATTCGATACCACATTCAACACGAATCGATACGACTTGACATTTGCACCAATATTGGGAGTTAATAACCACGGTCAGACAATTGTCTTAGCATGCACATTTTTGAGCAAGAAAACGACTGAGTCGTTTATTTGGATGTTTGAGGAGTTTAAGAAAGTCATGCCAGGTGGCGAACCTAAAACGATCATTACAGATCAAGATGCGGCCATGACCAGAGCTATTTCAATAGCCTTCCCGATTACATTTCATCGACTTTGCATATGGCACATCACATCGAAGTTCCCTGTTAAGTTACCACATTCTGCTTATAATGAGTATTGGCGTGAATTTCATAAAGCCATATGGGATACTGACAATAAGGATGAGTTTGACGCAAAGTGGAATATTGTGGTTACAAAGGCTGATTTGACTGACCATCAATGGCTAAGTTCAATGTTTGATTTAAGGGAATCTTGGGTTGCAGCCTACGCACGATACTTTTTTGCTACTGGAATGTCAAGCAGCCAAAGAGCGAAAGGTTCTCATGCTTTCTTCAAGCAATACATATCAAGGAGAAATTCGTTGATGGATTTCATAATACGATTTGAGAGGGCACTTTCTCATCAACGCCAAAAAGAATTAGCTGCTGATCACGTAGATGCATTTGAAGTGGCTCAATGTATTCTACCAATGCCAATGAACAAACAAATGGCTACCTTGTACACAAGGACAATGTTTCAAAAGTTTGAGAAAGAACTAATACAAAGTACAGCATGTTTCCTAGAGATCAAAATAGAGGATGCTTCTAAAGTTGTCTTTAATGTGAGCGAAAGGAAAAATTGGCAAACAAGAGTGGCAGAAGTCGTATATGTCAAAGATTCTGACCACGCATCGTGTAGCTGCAAAAGATTTGAATTTGTTTGGATTATTTGCAAGCACATCCTAGCATTGTTCAGAAGGGACTAGATTGAATATATGCCCGATAAATATATTTTGAAGAGGTGGAAGAAAACTGCGAAAGTTGGATTGGTGTCAGATGCAAATGGCAACGAAATTAAAGACTGTGCAGATCCTGGTCTTTTAATAAAACGGAGTACAATGTCCCGACTTGGTTCAGATGTGGTTGAGGATGCATTAATGTGTGAAGAAGGATGTGAGCTAGTGTCAGAGACTCTAAAAAGTTTGCGGGTGAAGTTGAAGTTGTTGAAGGATGGACCAAGTAATAACGAAGTTGGATGATCCAGCTCTCAAACACAATATATGAAAGACCCTAAGAGAGTAAGATGCAAAGGAAGGTCGAAACGAGTAACGGGAGTAAAGAAAAAGGCAATGAAGCGAGGGATTCGACACTGTCGGGAGTGTGGAGACATTGGTCATGATATAAGACAATGCCCAAGAAATTTGAACACACCGAAAGATGTTAAAACTATTTATAATAACACCCAAAATTTGAATAGTTAAATTTTTTATGTGCTTGTGTTTTGTGTTTATGCAAGACATCACCGTCGAACAATGAGGAATCAACTCCAATAGATCTCAGTGACCCATTATTCGATGAATTTTACAGGATGTACGGACCTACCGAATGATTTGTGTTTGTATTATACAAAGCCCGGTTGTTATGAAGGCTAATGATCAGGTGAAGTTTTCTATATGCAGTTTTATTTTATTTGTTTGTTCATGTCCACTGATAAGCTCTTACTATGTCCACTGCTAATTGAAATGGAAATTTGGTTGGTTTACTTCTTGCATGAAATTTGGACACATGTTAATTGTACATGTCTTCTTCCTATTTGGAAATTTTCATAGACATTTGATAAAGTATCAAATTTTGAGTTTTGCGAAGAAGCAATGACTTTTACCATGTACAATGAGTAGTTTATGCTGAATTATGAACTAGTGACACAGATTCATTGATTATATCACAGGCTAATGTAGCATTTCCAGCAGGCAGCTGTTGTTTCCATCAACAGTAATGATTTCCAGCACGAATTATTTCCAGCAACACTAATCATTTACAGCAGCAACCAATTTTTCCTAATGTTATGTTCTAGTGCTTGACTGGTTATTAAGATCTGACCTTAACTATGAAGCAATATTGGTGCACGATTTTGTAAACATTCATACCTGAAGGATACTTGAAATTTGCACTATGTTGGAACACAATGATTAGAAATCAGCGTGTAAAATACAAACTACAATACAACATCTTCTATGCATGATAAGTACATTGCAGCTAATCACATGAAAGTGTACACTAACATTTGAACTACTCGTAATTTCGCACACACAAGAAAATTACATTGCAAAGCATTTTATGTGCTCCCTCTTAGCAATATCACGATCACCCCAACCAACTGAACAATGGTAGCCATATTCACTCGGTCGTATGGGTCAGCTTTTTCCGAGCAGCTTGCACGTGCTTATGGTCACTCGTGTCCCCACTCATATAGACGAAATAAATATTCAGCAATATTTGTAATATTTTGTTATATAAATAACCCATAAATCATTCACCAAAGAATGTATAGCACATTGGCATGTAAAGTGAATAAGGAGAGTGTTACTTATGACTGTGTGTCAATTTTTTGAGAAAAAGTACGCCATCTGTTTAATGTGAAGGGACATGATAATGCGACTTTACTGATTCCCAACGTGTGGTGATATTGAGGACTTATTGAATAATATTTCAGTTTTTGCAAAATATAATGTTAGACACAAGGAATTGCAATACATAGTCCCAATAATTATATATGAAGCAAATGAAACTAATACTTGTGTTATTATAAATTAGATAATGAAAATTAAGGAAATATACTTCTAATTTGTCCCAGTTATATGTTGTTGTTTGTACTGTTTCATGTCATACTTTTTCTATCTTTTTTTATATTATATGTTCGTGGAATCCCTCAAAGCAACATATACTGTGAAAAATAAAATGTTGAGTGAAGTTCTAATCACTCATATAGACTAGGACAAATATTCAGTACTATTTCAAAATTGCTTGACTGGTGTCAGGTATTTCAGAAAAAGTAGGCCATCGAACGATGTGATTTGACATGATAGAGATATTTACTACGAACCCAATACGGAGCCATATTGACAACTTATTGAATACCGTTGACGTGTTCAAAGATCTAGATGCATGCACCCATGATGGCTTCAAAGCATTGTCCAATTATTATATATGTGGATTATTATAACAAAACAGATACTTTTACAGCCTTTTATATGAAAGGAAACTAATTCTTGTATTATTAAAACCTAGATAATGAATATTAGGGAAATATACTTGTGATGTTGGTTGTTGCAAAATATATAGCTAGGGTTAAGAGGAAAGTGAGTTATCTAAAGGCATTCAAAAAATTTCATTATGAAATTGATGATTTGTAGCTTCCCCCAGTTGTATAACGTCACAAGAAGGACGGAGTAATTTTCGGGGCATTTTTTCAATTTTCCTACTATTTATTGAAATTTTTTCAAGATTTTTGCACTAAAAAAAATCAAAATAATCGCAAGATGACACCTGGCGCGATCTCAACGCATCACCTTTCACCACTTGCACAAGTGTACGTCAATAAACATGGCCACATCCTTGCTCTCTAAATTCTTATTTTATTGTTTTTTCTTATGAAATTCATAACTAAATACACAAAAATGATAAAAATGTTCCGAAAATTGCTACGAACTCATTGACACTTCATATTCCTTACTGAATTCCCCGTTTCATGGTTATTCATTTTAAAAGACAATTTCAAACATTCACGGGAGATGCTTGTTGATGTAGGTTATCTATGTTGAAGTTAACAACATATATAGCTAGGGTTAAGAGGAAAGTGAGTTATCTAAAGCCATTCAAAATTTTAATTATGAAACTGATGATTTGTAGCTTCCTCTAGTTTTATAACGTCACAAGGAGGCCGGAGTAATTTTCGGGGCATTTTTTCAATTTTCCTACTATTTATTGAACTTTTTTCAAGATTTTTGCACCAAAAAAAGCCAAAATAATCGCAAGATGACACCTGGCGCGATCTCAGCGCATCACTTTTCACCACTTGCATAAGTGTACGTCAATAAACATGGCCACATCCTTGCTTTTTACCCTAAATTATTATTTTATTGTTTTTTCTTATGAAATTCATAACTAAATACACAAAAATTATAAAAATGTTCCGAAAATTGCTACGAACTCATTGACACTTCATCTTCCTTACTGAATTCCCCGTTTCATGGTTATTCATTTTAAAAAATAATTTCGAGCATTCACGGGAGATGCTTGTTGATGTAGGTTATTTAAGTTGAAGTTAACAACATATATAGCTAGGGTTAAGAGGAAAGTGAGTTATCTAAAGCCATTCAAAATTTTCATTATGAAACTGATGATTGGTAGCTTCCCCTAGTTTTTATAACGTCGCAAGGAGGCCGGAGTAATTTTCGGGGCATTTTTTCAATCTTCCTACTATTTATTGAAATTTTTTCAAGATTTTTGCACTAAAAAAAGCCAAAATAATCACAAGATGACACCTAGCGCGATCTCAACGCACCACCTTTCACCACTTGCACAAGTGTACGTCAATAAACATGGCCACATCCTTACTTTTTACCCTAAATTCTTATTTTATTATTTTTTCTTATGAAATTCATAACTAAATACACAAAAATGTTAAAAATGTTTCGAAAATTGCTACGAACTCATTGACACTTCATCTTCCTATTGAATTCCATGTTTCATGGTTACGCTACATTAGTATTTTATTATTATTTACCTTACATTATTATTATATTACTTTTTAGCCTCTACATTTGTTAATTATATTTACTCGAAATTATTATTTTTATTATTATTTTGAGTGCGAATAGACCATTTCTGGTGTTAATCAGTTTCTCTCTTCTTCAATTTGTTATTTTTTTTTCTTTATTAGGGTGAAGGGATGTTTTGAAAAATAAAAAGAAAAAATTACATTCCAACCATTGTATAACATCAGAAAAAAGTCAATGAATAACCCATTATTTGTATAGCTTAATTTGGATCCCAACCATCTCATTCATTCATACAAAATTGACGGATTACTGACTATTAGGCCTGGGCACGGTCCGGTTTGGACCGGTTCTCAGGCAAAATTAGAACCGAAACCGTACTGTTCATCCGGTCCGGTTCGGTCCGGTTTTGACAAAAACTCATGAACAAAACCGACAAAATCCAGACCTACCGGTTCCGGCTCGGTTCCTGCGGTTCCCGGTTTTGAAGCTTCAAAATAGAAAATAACAGAAAATAATAAAATCAAAGAAAAAAATACCAGAAAAACAAAAGAAAATATCTTATCTTCAAAAATCATATACCTCGTTTTCACAATAACAACTTAAAAAGAATCCCCAGATCTACAAGATCTTAATCAAAATATACAAGAACTTAACACATATATGTGCATTGCATAGAAAGTAGAAACAAAAAACAAACCAGAAAGAGGAAGAAGAAGAAAAAGAAGAAGGAGAAAGAGGGATGAGAAAAAAAAAAATCAGAACCACCATAAGGGGGATGAAGAAGAAGAAGAAGAAGAAGAAGATAGAAAAAAAATTCGAAAGCAGCAGAAATGGGAAGAAGAAAAAGGAAGAGAGAAAGGAGGGGAAGAAGAAAGAGAGATATGGAAAAAAAAAAAATCGAAACCAGCAAAAATGAGAAGAAAGGGGAAGAAGAAGAAAGAGAAAGAAGAAAAAGCAAAAGGGATAGGAAAAAAAATACGGAACCAGCAGAAAGGGGAAGAAAAAGAAAGAGAAAAAAGAAGAAGACGAAAGAGGGATAGAAAATAAAAATTGGAACAAGCAGAAAGGGAAAGAGAGAAAGGGTTGAAGAAAGTAAAAGAAGAAGAAGACGGAAGAAGAAGATGAAAGAAGAAAGAGAGATAGGAAAAGAAAGAAATAAAAAGGAACCAGGAGAAAGGGTAAAAAGAAAGTGCGAGAGAGGAATTGTATGGTAGTATAGGTGATAATCATGTGTGTGTGCGTGTACGGTAAGTCCTTACACAACCAATAAAAAAGAGCAACCTATTAAATATATATATAATTTATAATATAAATATATATTAATTAAGCCGGTCCGGTTTGGACCGGTCCGGTTTTTAGAGATGGTAAACCGGAACCAGAACCGCACAGAACCGGTCCGGTTCGGTTTTGGTCAACTCAACCCGGTTTTTTGGTCAACTCGGTTTTTTCCGGTTCGATTCGGCTCGATTCGGCTCGGT